TGAGATTAAAAACAAACATTTTCATGATCTTTTTTTTTTTGGCATTGTACATGTTGTATTTAAACATGCATTGTTTCACACAGTACTCTGTCATATTAACAAAATGGTTTTATTTTCTATACAGTCCTCAACCTGGAAGATATGTATTGTTCCTAACCATCTATAATCCATTCTCTATGAAGTTCAGACTGTCTGCTCTTCCTTTGGAAATACACAGTTAGTCAACCAACATAGAAACACACAAACTTGAAGGTAAAGTTTCAATGAGATACAATTGTAATATATATTTATTTATTATTTTATTTATTTATTTATTTTTTTTTTTTTACATATGCATGTTTATAATTTTGAATTGATATGTAAATGATATATTTAAATAAAAAGGGCTTGGTGGTCATGGTCATTTTTAGACTATATTGATCTCCTTTAGAAGAAGAAGAAGAGCTCCATTTCAATATATATACAAAAATGCATGATCAAATTTTGAAACTAAAATGTATGAAAGTTTTCTTTGCCAAATGATAGTTAACAGCTGAAGATAGCATATCTATAGAATAAGTTAAATATGGCTAATTTGTAAACCCCCCCCCCCAGCTCCCTTAATATCATAGTTGGTAAAGATAGCAAGTTTTCACTTCAATTGCTGATGAATTCTGAATTTTCCATTTAATATTATCATTATATCACAGGGAAAGAATACTATAATGTAGCACATCAGGATGACCAGAAAAGAAATCTTAATGACCCTCTTAACTATGTATAAAAACTGTAACCTTATAACTGATGTAAGATAATCTGATTGTGTGGAAATAAAATTTCCTGGTATTTCTACTACCCAAGATCTTCTTTTGAGTGTATGGGACTGCTGTAAACCTTCTCCTGTTTATAAAAATAATACCTTGGAGCATGACACTTTATTCATAAAAATCTTATGTTACAACTTGTATTTATACCCTTTTTGTCTATATTTAGATTTCAATCAAGCTCATGTTATATAACAATTTTTTTTTTTTAAACTGAGACATTTTTTTTTTCAGGATTCTCTAGTGAGGTCTTATGGAAATGATCTATGTCTACTCTCAGAATGGTGAAAGACTATCAGATTATGCAAAGACTAACAGAATATCCTCTCTTGGAACACTGAAACAAGAAAATCAAACAGGAGATGGATGGAGGATTTAAGAAGCACAGAGATAAATATGATTTCCAACGAATTTAACCAGTATTATCATAGACTGTGGTTTACAGGATGACAAAGTAACAGGATTGTATCATTTTACTGTCAGACACTGACTATGAATAAAGTGTAATCATTTATTAAACTGAGATCTAGTCAAATCAAGTACAATTGTATTGAAAATATGATTTTCTGATAGCATGAACTCTTTAAAAATTAATTCTCACAGACCTCAAAGTATCTGAATGTAACTTTTATTTTTACCAATTCATATTGAAGACTGTTGTTATGTATGGGAATTACACATTTAAACCTTTTACTTTTCATCTTATATCTACAACACCCCTAGAAATTACACAGATATTCAGATACTGGATTTAATGTTATTATTTAACTTTCCTGGAATTGTAAATATATTTTGTTTGTGTATGTATCATGTTTAATTTTGAATTTAAATTGGTCTCAATAAGGCCCCCAATAAAGATGCAAGTGTCCCATAATCTGTGGTTTAATAATATCTTGAATATCTTTATCATACCATATTGTACATATTTATTACATATAGAATGGTTGTAGGAATACACTTTGTTGTTTAGGACAATTTGTCAAGGTCAAAGCATAAGATTATTGAGATGACTTCTTTGACAATAATTTGTAACTTACAAACTTCACATCATAAATACACAGATGAAGAATCAATAAGATATTTCTATAGATTTTTGTTGGATCATTTACTCCTGGATAAAAGTTAATTATTGAGATTACTGATTTGAGTCCTGTAATGCAATAACTTAAACATTGTGTAATAACTTATAGACTTTATAAAAATTAGGTGCAAATTCTTAGGATAGGAATGAAATGTTAATCAAATGTACAATGTTCAAATGTGTTTATATGACTATTACTATGTAATACCTTGGGTTTCTGTAAAAATCCTATATTCACTACATAGATAAAGACCTGTATAATATATATTTTAAACTATGCTGAAGGAAAAAAAAGTAAAAAGCTCTCCCCTTCATCTCTTTCATATTCTGTCATACACAACAATAGATAAATTGCAGTCTTATAACAAACTGATGTCTAATCAAATCTTAGAATTGATATAGTGATTTTCTGATAGTATGAGATCTTTTAAAAAAATAATTCCCAGACTTCAAAGTATCTAAATGTGTCTTTTATTTTTACTAATTCATATTGAAGACAGTTGTTATGCATGAGAAGTATACATTTAAACCTTTTATTTTTCATCTTATTTCTACAACCCCTAACAAATTACACAGATGTTTAAAAGCTAGCTTTGGTGTAATTATTACTTTCCTGGAACTTTAAAAAAATTTTGTTTGTGTATGTGTGGTGTGTCCTATTTTGAATTTAATAGGTCTCAATAGGACCCCCATAAAGATGTAATAATATCTTGAATATTTCTATCATCCCTTAGACTTCATGCTTACTACACAGAACAGGTTAGAGTAATACACTTAGTTTTATAGGACACTTTGTCAGGGTCAAAGCATGAGATTATTGAGATAACTACCTTTGACAATAATTTGTAACCTGCAAACTTCACATCATAAGTAAAGCAAGATTCTGAGATGATCTATAGATTTTTGGATCATTTTTCTCATGGGTAAAATTTAGTTGTTGTGACTTTTAACATTTTATGATAACCTAGAGACTTTATTTTAGCTTTATTGGGTGGCATATCATATTCTTTGGAAAGAATTGAAATGTAAATCATATGCACTATGTTCAAGGATGTTTAAAGACTATTACTATGTAATACCTTAGAATTCTGTAAAAAATCTTATAATCACTGCATAGATAAAGACTGGTTGGAATAATTTATGTTTTGAAATAAGGTTTAGAAAAAAAAGGCAGGAATGTGGATATGACTTTTATTCAAATGGTGCAGTACAGCAACTCTGGTGATTTACATATATTCAGTCATAAATAGATAGGTATTGGGAAGACTCCTATAGATTTTGAAATTTTCATTCAAAAGTATAGAATTTTTTTTTTAAGTTTGAAAGATTAAATGGCACCATATCATTTGCTTGTGAATTAAAAAAAATAAATCCAAACATATACATCTTTGGATGATATTTGTAGAATTTTATCAATTTCTGGACTTAGATCTTGATATCATCCTTTAATGTCCTTAAAATTTTAATGACTGTCTTTTAGTTTTAGTTTAATTAGTTTCTTTTCTACATGTGAAAATGACATCATCCAAAGAAGTTCTTCATCTGCATGTTATATGAGGAAGACAATTTTCATCACAGTGAAAGAGATTGTTTTGTTAAACATAATGCATTGATGCACAAATATATTTTTAGATTTTTAATAGCTAGGGTTTATATTTCTTTTTATGAAATGCTAAGTTCTGTTGATTTTAATTTTTGTGAACAAAAGACATACTAGTAGAAAAAAAAATGTACATGGTGTGTTAGAAAAGCATGTGGAAACCTGATGACTTTATCATTGTTGATTAAATCAATTATGAGTTTCATCTTTGTTACATTGTAAACATTTCTAAGTAGGGCATACATCAGAAACTCTTAAAATTCTGAGTATCAGGGTTAAACACATCAATTCCAAATGATTTTTGGATGCTTTTTATGTATAAAAAAAGACAAAATAGCATATCTGTTCGCAGATGTTCCAAAAGGAAAACAACCACAAAGAAATGATTTGATATGTTCTTTATGTGATTCATGTAAAATGTATTTTAAAATTGTACCCTAACATTTATCTTTTGCATAAATACATATTTTTGTGGAGAATTTTTCATAACTTTGAAAAAAAAAGTAGTCTTATTGTATAATATGGTTAACTTAAAATTTTGTAGACTTAAAAGTTGTACATGATGTGTTACACATCTTACATATGTAACCATTTCATTCCAGGGCATTCAGTATATATTGTGGTTTTGTCTTAAATTTGTTTGTTCATGTAATCAATAATTTGAGAATACCCAAGTTAGGTAATGCATGAGAGAATAGGCAAGAAAATCAGGTTTAAGAAATGGTTTTTACTATTTATAAGGGGTTCTTCTATATATTGAATCTATAAGTACATTTAGTCTATACATTTAAGGTATTTCTGTATGAAATAAACTTGCATTTAAGCATTTTAAGACCACAGATTATGGGACACTTGCATCTTTATTGGGGGCCTTATTGAGACCAATTTAAATTCAAAATTAAACATGATACATACACAAACAAAATATATTTACAATTCCAGGAAAGTTAAATAATAACATTAAATCCAGTATCTGAATATTGTGTAATTTCTAGGGGAGTTGTAGATATAAGATGAAAAGTAAAAGGTTTAAATGTGTAATTCCCATACATAACAACAGTCTTCAATATGAATTGGTAAAAATAAAAGTTACATTCAGTCACTTTGAGGTCTGTGAGAATTAATTTTTAAAGAGTTCATGCTATCAGAAAATCATATTTTCAATACAATTGTACTTGATTTGACTAGATCTCAGTTTAATAAATGATTACACTTTATTCATTGAGAGATCATTTCCATATAAAAACATTTTTTTGTACAGAATATCTATGATTTTGGAAAAACAGTGTCCTGGAAAATGACAGTAAAATGATAAATGTTACTTTGTCAATTTTGTAAACCAGACTCTATGATAATACTGGTTAAATTGTTGGAAAGATCTCTGTGCTTCTTAAATCCTCCATCCATCTCCTGTTTGATTTTCTTGTATTCATGTTAATCAATAATGTTAGTCTTAATAATCTGATAGTCTTTCACCATTTCTGAGAGTAGACATAGATCATTTCCATAAGACCTACTAGAGAATCCTGATAACAAAAAATGAGTTTAAAAAAAAAAATTGTTATATAACATGAAGAAATCTAAATATAGAACAAAAAGGGTAGAAATATGTATACATGAAAGTACCTTTTATGAATAAAGTGTCATGCTCCAAGGTATTATTTTTATGAACAGGAGAAGGTTTACAGCAGTCCCATACACTCATAAGAAGATCTTGGGTAGTAGAAACACCAGGAAATTTTATTTCCACACAATCAGATCATCTTACATCAGTTATAAGGTTACAATCTTTATACATAGTCAAGAGGGTCATTAAGATTTCTTTTCTGGTCATCCTAATGAGCCACATTATAGTATTCTTTCTCTTTGATATAATATTAATATTAAATGGAAAATTCAGAATTCATCAGCAATTGAAGTCAAAACTTCCTATCTTTACCAATTATGCTATTAAGGAAGCTGGGTGTTAACAAATTAGCCATATTTAACTTATTCTATAAATATGCTATCTTCAGCTGTTAACTATCATTTGGCAAAGAAAAATTTTATACATTTTAGTTTTAAATATTTGATCATGAATTTTTATGCCTTTTCTTCTTCTTCTTCTAAAGGATATCAATATAGTTTAAACATGACCATGACCACCAAGCCCTCTTTATTTAAAAAAAAATCATGTATCATTTACTTATCAATTCAAAAATATAAAAATGCATATGTAAATAAATAAAAAAATAAATAAAAATTACAATTGTATCTCATTGAAACTTTACCTTCAAGATTGTGTGTTTCTATGTTGATTGACTAACTGTGTATTTCCAAAGGAAGAGCAGACAGTCTGAACTTCATAGAGAATTGATTATAGATGGTTAGGAACAAAACATATCTTCCATGTTGATGACTGTAGAAATAAAACCATTTTGTTAATATGACAGAGTACTGCATGAAACAATGCATGTTTAAATACAACATGTACAATGCCAAAAAAAGATCATGGAAATATTTGTTTTTAATCTCGAAAAATTGTTTTTAACATTAACTCCATATGAGAAAAGTTCATCATGCTATCTATAGATAATAAACAAGCACAACTGCTGTATTAATATCATAAATGAAATGATTATCAGATTAATTATTTAGACACTAAAAGACTTTTTATTAACAGCAGATTCAATTTTGTTTAATACCTGTCAGTACTGCATGCAGAAAAATGCATTTTTTTTAGCATCATCACAGTACAACATGTAGTCCTTCATTTTTTGAAAAGCTCATTACCAAGAAACAAAAGTGAAAATGAAATTATATGTATACCATATATCACACATATTTAGAATCAAAACAAAAGTAAATTACTATTAGGATTAATCTTTTGTAAATTCCTCCTTTTCTCTCATTACATTCCCAATCAATATCTCTTTGATCACCATTTAGTAAGTCTGAACTCCATGGGTAACATACATAATGAATTATGAAATTAAATCATAATCTATACAAAAGGACTTATTAATATTCTGAAGATCCCTTGATCATGTGTTAATATATTTTAGGTTAAATAAGGGTGTGCTTATATGAATGTAAGTTAGAGACATCAGATCACATAAGTATTACACAGTAATTAGATTAACCATATAATCATGGTTAAATGCAAAGATGACCATCATAGGAAATGAAAACAATTAAAAAACAAGAAAAACTTACCAGAGATATCCAACCTTATGCCCAATAAGCCTATCCATTAAATAATCCAGTGAAATAACATCTCAGCTGATCCTGTAAAAAATCATACAATTCAGTGATACACAAATTAACCTCACTTTACAATGTAAGTAAAGCAATAATTTACAGACAAACAGGACAGAAATGTAAAAGATACCATGTATTTTACCAAAATTTAGTGAACATTTTTCTGATTTAAATGCATTCTGAGTAACATGCAGGTTTTACAACTGTAAATCACATGAAATGAGGATGAATACAGCATTTACATTCAAAACAGAACTGTACATATAATTATGATTAAATGCAAAGATGACCTTCATAGGAAATGTAAACAAAAATAAGACAAACTTACCTGTGGAATAGGTCTGTCAGAAAGGATGTTTCAAAAATGAACACGCTCTCAACATTCACATGACAAGAATGCATCAGGATGATTACTTCCGTGGTCATAGAGAAATTGAGCTTTATACAAGAGAAGCTTAACAGCAGGAAAATCATCATAGAAAAGGAGAGTAAACAAAAGATAGTCCTACATTTTCTGAAAATCTACGTTCACTTCTTAGAAACAAAAGTGAAAATGAAACTTTAATTTTACAAGTGTATGACGTCATAATGCATCTATAGGTAGCTTGCTGACTAGACTGTGTACAGAGACGTACACAGTACGATCAAAACGTAAGTCTATCGTATTTTTTGCACACGACCCTAAACAAACCCATGCTATATAAACCAGTTTGATTCTGAATAAAATCTGTGTTATTATTATTGTGTGTTAGTGTTATTGTTTTCAGTAAAAAAAAAATCCAGGTTGTTATTGTTTTCAGTAAAAAATTCAGTTCAAACTGGCTGGCTAGACTAGGCCGTCTAGACTGTAAATGAATGGATGACGTCATAATCACATTGTATTTATACAGTGGATGACGTCACAATGCATAGGTAAGTCCAACCTATTTTTTTTTGCACACGACCCTAATTTTTTTTTGCACACGGTCCTTACAGTATAGTGTAAAACACTATATTTAGAGCTATATACTGAATCCCCACCTTAGTCCTCAATAGGGTTAAGGGGTTAGGGCTAAGGGGGAATTAGGGTTAGGGTTAGGGTTAAGGGGGCTAAGGGGTTTAGGGTTAGGGTTAGGGTTAGGGGATAGGGTTAGGGGATAGGGTTAGGGCTAGGGTTAGGGCTAGGGGGGTTAGGGTTAAGGGGACTAGGGTTAAGGGGGGATTAGGGATAGTTAGGGATAGGGTTAGTTAGGGCTAGGGGTTAGGGTTAGGGTTAGGGTTAGTTAGGGTTAGTTAGGGTTAGGGTTAGTTAGGGCTAGGGTTAGGGGGTTAGGGTTAGGACTGCACTCAGTTGACCCCTTATCCTCCCAACCAATCAAAATCCTCCATTTTTGACCTCATTTGCATAAAAAGTGCACTCAGTTGACCCGCCTATCTAGGCGCTTTATACTACTTAGGACTCAAAACAATCAAGATTGTATGCAGTTACCCAAACAATGGAAGTCATCTTTTGCTTTAAAAAAGTATGTTAAAGCTGCAACGTTAGAACTATCTTTGATTTGGGTTGCTTTTTGGTATTCCATGATGGTATACAATTATATTATGAATTAAGTACATTTACTTTCTACTTTTTTTTATGATTTCTATGCAGAACTGTTGCATTTATTAAGATGTTCTGAACAGCTTAATAAAGCAATGAAAGCCAGATCTATAAATTGTGCTGGACCTGTTTGAAATTGTCATTCACTTTTGTTCAAGATGATTTAATCCTAAAATGGAATCAATGTAAATTACTTGCTGAAACAGTATTATAACTTATTCACCTATAAGAAATCGGATGCCAATATTTGCATAATTACTGGTTATAAGTCTGTTAGATTAACATATCATTTAATTTCTATAAAATACTTGATTCTGATTGGTTTAAAAATTCTTTTGATGACTGCATCAATAAAATCTAGAGTTCGCTTGCACTAAGCTGCCGGAACTACTTTAAGTGGCTGTCTTTACATGTGTATTTCCCGCTTCCAGGTTACTTTTTGAAGGAATAATTAAATATTTTTATTTTAATAAATATTTTCCTGAATTTCGAAACCTGTCCGTTACGTTCCTGACTTATTTTCTACTTTCGTTTCGTTTTGAATTATCCCCCTTTGCTAAACAAATCAAATCGTCTGCATAACAACAATACAGTTTTGAGAAAGAAGAAAAGAAATCGATATACTTTTGTTAAATGTTCGGCTTTGGGAGTATCTGGTATGAACAACAGAATTTTAAAGAAATGGTTTTTTTTTTATGCTAAAAGCTGGGAAAACCGTTAGGGCCAAATCTGTTCAATCTTGGGAAGCGAATGATCGAGAGAAACGACACTGCCTGAACGAGGACGGAATTCTTTTTTTATTATCATCTTAAACAGTCGGAAGCAGACTCTTTCAGGCTTTACAGCATTGACAGGTTGTGATACTTATTTTTATATGTTCGGTTTGAAATTCAGATGAAAAGATCTGCAAATGAAATCCAAAATTTCTGTGACCTAACGTTAGAAGTGTTAGGATATTTGAGTAGCTTCCCCTGACATTTACGAACTTAGATAACTTACCGGTGAAAATATGCCCATTGGGATAACACAACAGGTAAGTTTTTTTTGTGTTAAAGAATTATATATTATTTCAGAGAATGTTGGTAATGACACAACAATATTTGAAAACGTTTCTTCGTTTGAACCCTTTTGAATTTCAGCAACGTTAACGTTCTTGAGATGAATTCGTGCGCACCGTTTTTGATGCGTAAATTTAATAGAAAAGTGAAAGAAAGTTTCATTTTATTAATTTAAAATCATAATTAAATGATAAGAAATGATTGTAATATTTTTTTCCTTTGATCGATGTATCAAAGAAAAATTTAGACGGAAAACTTTTTCATCAATGCGGTAGCGCATTGATGAAGTTTTCCGTCCAAAATTTTCTTTGATACATCGATCAAAGGAAAAAATATTACATTCATTTCTTAAGTCACATTAACAAAAAATTCAAGGCATTTTACCCTTCATTTTTTGTAACCTTTGTATGAATATACTAAATCTACTTCTTAATTCTTTACAGATTGTAAACCTATGGTGGATTCCAACATCGTGAAGACGGAAGGATTGAGCACCCAGTGTAGAGTGAATCACTGCTCTCAATGTCCAGGGGATACAGAATTCTACTGCGAGACCTGTAAACACAGCCTTTGCCTAAACTGCAAAGAGAGCCATGTTATGAGTCTAGATACACTGCGCCATGATGTTGTGATTTACCGAGAGAAATTCAAGCGTTTCCTAAAACAAGAAATCTGTATAAGACATCCAGAAAGGATCTATGAAAAGTACTGTAAGTCCTGTGAACTTCCAGTTTGTTCCCAATGTGAAAATCACGAACAACACAAAATATTGGATATCAACGAGGCGTATGAAACAAACCGACAACAACACAAAGAAATCATTCGCAACATCAGAAGCGAGCTTCTCTATATTAGTTGTTTTCTTCAAGCAAAAATCCACTCTGATAAGAAAAAATTGTGTAAAGAAATTTACGATCATTTGACATTGATGTCAACAAATGCTCAGAGAATTAAAATTCTTATTGATGATGTGATATGTGATGTTACAATCAGGTACAGTAGTAAAATAATTTATAGATTACTGAAACAAAGAACGAAAATAAAAATACATCTTACGATCCTTGAGATCTTTGATCGGAAAACTGAACAACATGCTTATAGATCATTAGAATTTCTATCCTTTATGAAGATTATCTCTAGAAACAAGACAATGGCTACTTGTATCCTTACAAAGCAAGCCCTTCCTTCCTTGAGTACAGAAGTCAACATAGAGGACTTGACTGAAGGATTAGGAGAAATTCAAATTATAGATCAAACAGGAAAGAGAAAAATTGAAAATAAATGTCTCCTTAAACTTATGCCTACACCTGTGTTACAGAAGACTGTGGGGGTGAGAGGTATTAGTTTGGTAAATCACATTTCCCCCCTGACGTCAGAGCGGGTCTGGGTCTCGGAGCAGGTCTGGAACACGGAGCGGGTCTGGGTCAGCGATGATGACGACATCTATTTGACAAACACAGCTGGATATGTTATGTGTCACTTGACAGATGTATTCAAGGAAAGTTGGTGGGGTATCCATTCTGTGACTAGTGACGGTGAACTTATTTACATAGACAGGGAAGGCAACATCGACAAACTCTCCGCAGACTATAATGTAAAAACTACGATGATACAGAAAATAGAACCGTGGGAACCCAGCTGTGTCCATTGCTCTCATACCACTGGAGATCTGCTGGTAGGAACAGTGAGACATGCTACGTACACGGGCAAGATAACTCGATATGACAGCAATGGACAACATGTCAAGACTATCCAACAATACCTTCAAGGTCATGAACTATATAACCGTCCCATCTATGTCACAGAAAATCCTTACGGGGATATAATTGTGACCGACTTGACCCAAAGCGCCGTAGTGGTGACGGATCATGGAGGAAGACATCGTTTTTCCTACACAGGGTCTAAATCAGAGTTTCAGTTTACTCCTTATGCCATTTGTACAGACGCATTTTCTCACATTTTGGTGTATGATAAATGTACAGATGCAGTGCAAATGATTAACAAAGATGGACACTTCCTGGCAAATTTACTTGGTAGACAAGAACTTGGGAAGAATTTAGCACAGTGTTTGAGCTATGATAACAAAACACACCTTCTTTGGGTTGGGTCAAGCAATAACACGTTGTCTGTTTATAGATATATTGATAGAGAGGACTTAAGGACTGGTAGGCCACTTAGTATTTACTAGATGGTGGATTGTCCTTACTCCCTTTACCCCTCCCATAACCACCACCAAAACCAACAACAAAGTTTTAAATAAAAAAAATCATACCATTTCTGGCATATAAAAGGTATTGATTTTCAATTTATCTAATCACTGTTCCAAAATACATTTAGTAATCCTAGTTCTACCTATATTATGTTGTCACATATTTAAAGGTGCATGGACACAGATTTGAAGTTAATATTTTCTGTATAATATTTAAGAAATAAACATCGTTATTCAGTGAACATGGCGTTATGAATAGCAATTGCTCTGCTGGCATATTCCATGATGCGCGCTAGCGCATCATGGAAAATATGCCAGCAGAGCTATTGCTATCCATAATGCCATGTTCACTGAATAATCGTTGTTTATTACTTATATTTGCATTCTTTGATTTTTTTTTTCAAGAATATCAGAGGAAATCCTGACTTACATAAGGACGCGGCTTCTTCTCTTCGGTAAAGAAAAACATACGGCTTTAAATTCAGTACACCTGATCAATGCTCCTTTTATCTAATAAATCACAAATAATTTATAAAGTATTTCCCTCTCAAACACAGTTATCTGGATACAAGCAGCGCCGTCATCACATTCTCTTAATTTTTGTTTTGATGCAGCTGTGACGTCATCGATCAACGTTATTGAAACCCTCTGACAAAAATCAATAA